ATGGTTCAACCAGGAGCATCTTATATTCTAAAAATATTTAGATTTGTTTATAGAAAATTAAAGAAAACATTTGTACACAACATTGACATTTGTGACACTAATTTGCATGTTTAAAATAGATACGTATCTGCACGTTACTTTGACTTTAACAATCCTTTCATTTAGTGTACAGTAGAGCTGCACGATTCTGGCTAAAATGAGAATCGCGATTTTTTTTGCTTAAAATAAAGATCACGATTTTCTCACGATTGTGTAGATGTAAAATAAAGGTATGGTAAAAACAAACATATGGCACAACATCGATAATAATAATATGTGTAGGTCTACTGGTTTCTATAAATAATTCTATTCTACTTATAATAATTCTGATGTTGAATTATTATGTTTGAGATATATGCTATTATGCTTGCAATCTGTCATATTAGACAATTTAATTCACTGGTAAAATCAGACATTTGCCATTATCAGATTAGATTCAACAATATATAGGCTAGAGTAGTTATACTGACATTGTAAACATTTATTTTCATGCACAACTGTGGGTTCGCAATGAAAGAAAAAACATACCAAATGCTTGCCGTAATCATAACTCTAAAATGCGATATGATCATTTAAACGAAGTGCTCACTTTCGGTTTCATTCTGACTGCTAAGTACTTGTACATACTTCACGCGCGACTCCCAAACGATCACTCTGCGACACAAACTAAATATTATTTGCAACTGTATTACCTGTTATTCGCAACATATGCAGATTCTGTTCACTAAAGTAGGCGCGCGCGTCTATCATTAAGCACGCCCTCTCTGTGATAACAGCTAACGGTCAGCAGCTCATGTCACGTGTGATTTCCCGATCGCGAAAACATCATTGTTAAGAAAAAAAAAAAACATTTTTAGGTGAATTATACCTTATAAATATAGTACTTGACTCATTCAACATCATTTGGAGGTGTCAATGTCACTGAGCAACGTGTGTGAAACAATGAAAAGACTTGTGCAGCCGCCTTTTCTTCTCTCCTGAACTTGAAAATAAGATTGGCAGAATCGTAGAAATGCTAGATTAAGATCGTCTAGGGGTCGAATCAAGATTGCAATCTTTTAACGATTAATTGTGCAGCTCTAGTGTACAGTATTTTACATTTACATTTACCTTTTTTTTTTTTTTTAAATAATCAAACCTTCTAAAAGTTCAGAAAATTCTACTGGGATTTTAACACACAGTCATCTCTAGAGTTTACAGAGAATGATCTGAAAAAGAGAAAATATACAGTGAGCCAACTTCAGTGGGTGCAAATGCCTTGTTGATGCCAGAGGTTAGAGGAGAATGGCCAAACTGGTTCCAGCAGATAAAAAGGCAACAGTAATTCAAATAACCACTTGTTACAACTGAAGTATGCAGAAGAGAGTCAAACCCTGAGGCAGATGGGCTACAGCAGCAGAAGACCACACCGGGTGCCATTCCTGTCATTAAGAACAGGAAACTGAGGCTACAATTCGCACAGGCTCACCAAAATTGGACAATAGAAGATTGGAAAAACATTGCCTGGTCTGATTAGTCTCGATTTGTGCTGCGACATTTGGATGGTAGGGTCAGAATTTGGCATCAACAACATTAAAGCATGGATCCATCCTGCCTTGTATCAATGGTTCAGGCTGAAGCCTGGTTTATACTCGGCGCGTTTGCTAGTTCGCTTGAGTACGTACAATGAATGTGACGTCATCGATGTGTTTGCGGAGATTCACTTTGGGTGCTCACGACATGATTTCAGCTGGCGGAGAGCATGATTTTTTTTTTGAGACTTTAGTCTAAAACGCACGACCAATAATTCTTGGCTAGAAATTGCAACAGCAGTGGAAAAGGAGGAAAGTTGTTGTAAAAAAAAAGATTGGAAAAACTTGAGGAATAAGTTTGTTACAACCAAAAAAAAGAGGCAATGGCAAAAATGGAGACCAGGGTGGTTTTAATAAACAATTAAAGAACATGTTTTTCCACCATTCATAAGGTTAACACAGATGTATATATTACAATTTTAAACTTAAAACATGTAATAGATACAAAACTGAAATGTAGTGCCACAATATCTCTTTGATATCTGGAAATATTTGAACCTATCGGTTTACAATATACTGATGCCTGTTTTTCTAGGCTTTATTGGTAATAATGTTGGACCATTATTGCGTTTTTAGCATATCAGTAGAGGACAAACTAGCCAAACAGTAATGTGTGAATTGTTGAGTGGGTTAAATAAAAAAGGCAGTATTTTTTAGAAAGTGTCGTTTTTTTTTTTTTGCTTTTATTCTTTACCATAATAAAAAATATATTTGTAGAGTAGCCCATGTTCTGTTATTAATAACATTTGAAAAAACTTTAATAGGTAGAACTGTCCGAGATATGAACAAAAGCAAGTAATGCATCAAAGTTTGATTTAAAAAAAATCATGAATAGTTATAAAAATCTTTATAATCATTAAATTAATCTATAAAAATAATACACAACTTGAACGATATTAATGATATTACAGAGTTTCGGAAACTTCCTACTTTTCTGTTTATCCGCTCTACTTTACAGTGGGTTTTTTGTTTTAAAGAATATCACAACGGCAAACACGTCAAGTATAAAAGCCTCGTCCGTTTTGTGAAATGTGCATGCAGCCAGCGGAGGTGCGCGATGAGGCACTAGGTATACATCCAGCTTGATGGTGGTGGTGTAATGGTGTGGGGGAGTTTCTTGGCACACTTTGGGCCCATTAGTACCAATTGACCATTGTGCCAACGCCACCACAACCTACTCAAGTATTGTTGCTGACCATGTCCATCCCTTTCACACGACAGTGTACCCATCTTCTGATGGTTACTTCCAGCAGGATAACACACCAAGTCATAAAGCGCAAATAATCTCAGACTGGTGTCTTGAACATGACAATGAGTTCACTTTACTCAAACGGCCTCCACAGTCAGATATCAATACAATAGAGCACCTTTGGGATGTGCTGGAATGAGAGATTCACATCATGGATGTGCAGCCGAAAATCTGCGGCAACTGTGTGATGCTATCATGTCAATATGGAGCAAAATCTCAGAAAAACATTTCCAGCACTTTGTGGAATCTATGCCACGGAGGATTAAGGCAGTTCTGAAAGCAAAAGGGGGTCCAACCAGGTACTAACAAAGTGGCTGGTGAGATCAGCTTAGCAGTGTCTTTGATTTTGTGTCCTGAAAATCAATGTAATGTAGACCAACAATGACTGAATGATACAGAATTCGTTCCCCCAAAATGCCTTTTGTAGCATATTCGATCCTTGACTTGGAAGGTTTCGTAAATATTCACATTAAATTATTACCAACACATTTATTCATATGTCTGCTTTTTTATCTTTAAATGGTGTACAACATTTCATTTTTTCTCCAAATCATGCTAGCAATTTAGAGGCCTTGCATGTTTCAAATTCAGTACAGGGTTACAGGGATAGTTCACCCATAAAATGTAAATTTACTCCCAAACAGGTTTAGAAACCACCGGAGGGTGTTTCTTCCTCACAAAGTCAGTTAAGAAAATGTTATGACCAAGAAATACTATGGAAGTCAGTGGTTACAGCTCTTACATTTCTTTCTTTTTTAACCTTCTTTGTGTTCGTCAGAAGAAAGAAACTCAAACAGGTTTGTGACAAGTGAATGAGTAAATGATGACAGTTTTCAGTTTTGAGTGAGCTGTCCCTTTAAGGCATGTGTCGCTGTTTTAAACCACTAAGTTAGTCCAAAAGTTATGGTTATTACTCATATAAACAGTACAATCAAATGGCCAGCAGTCATGGGCCCAGGTTTACCTTCTAGGTTGCGTAACAACAAGATTACAGTACAGCAGGCTGAAGGAACGTGCTCCACACCTTACACATTCCACTGTGACATGAGATATATTGATCAAGTCTACAGCACTACAACTGAACCTGATCTCCTGAACTCTACTTGCCTCTGCAATTAAGTCCGAAAGGACTAATGAACAATTAATGCTCTAAGTCAGTGGTTCTCAAACTGTGGTACGTGTACCACTAGTGGTACGCGGGCTTCCTTCTAGTGGTACATGGAGGAATGAAATATGTCATGTACATGCTAAATACATTTCAAAATTTATCAAAAATGATGTATTCAATATGCCATATATGACATATAGCCTATATTTCTGAGGTAATCTGCCACGTTTTTTTTAACTGTGCAGAGTTGTAGCTGCTTTACTGAGCCTACTACACTACTGAATTTCAATACTGCTCATTTAGGTGGTACTTGGAGAGAGAATTTTTTTCTGAGGTGGTACTTGATGAAAAAAGTTTGAGTACCACTGCTCTAAGTGAAGACTTTAAGGCACCAAATCCAGCAAATATCAGCGTTTTAGTGTCCATAACACCATTAGACTAAAACGAAACCTGCAAACACAGACAAGCAGTAATGTGATCACAACAAATGGATATAACCTTTAATGCTGAGAGCTTCAAACCACAGTTACCAAGATACACACTCAACAACATCAGTCTTCTTGATGGGATGCAATTAGGAATGTACATCCTGGAACAAAACAGACTAGTTAACGTCCACCATCACGAAACAATTTCCTAGCGTCGATGCTAACAAATCTACACGTACAAAGAGAGGGAAAGCATCCATGTTTGGTGATGTGCACATAATGTGAAAGCAAACCTCATATGCCCATGCATGCCAGGCCTGATCTGGCCCATAAGCTCCTTACGAGCTCCATGCATCCATAGAGGAAGGGGATATAAATAATAGCTAACTGGCTACACGCTCCTGACACAGTCGGTGATGACCACACATACGCTGAAACCAGGCCGATCCAGCATCGTTTGCTCCCACAGATCATGCATACAGCTGTCAAGAACACAACCGCATTAATGGATGCTGTGTAGCCCACGGTAATATTGTCCTAAACAGATGCTAACCGGCTAACCGTGTTAGCATTCTAACGCACTATCACACAAAGCTTTGACTTACCGCTCGCTCTGGCGAACATTAAAACCACTTGAAATTCCCAAATGTTCAGGCGGCTGTGGAGCCGAAGACGGCAATGGTAAGACCCGGCTGATTGTGAGTCCAGCCCCGTGTGTGTGTGCGTGTGTGTGTGAGGTTTAGTACTGATCAGTGTGTGTGTATGTGTGGAGAGACTGCTGGTGGAAGTGCGACTCTCAGCGCTTCTCGCTCTCCGCCCTGAAAACCCGTGAACTGCACAGAAGCGTTGGATGAGACACATTGCGCTGAGCTGCACTGACAAAATACCACCAACAGGTGGCGCGACGTGGCCAAGCCCGTGTTTTCGCAATTTTCCAGGGTGCAAATTTCTCCTTCATGTTAAAACAACGTTAGGAGTCGGTGTTTCATTTGCAAACATAGTATTTAGTATATTTAAACAATGCTGCAAATGAAGAGAATGAGAATTGTTACATTGCAATGCATTCTGGGAATTTTGGATGAGGGAACCTGGATCCCATTTAATTTTATGGTATCTATACTCTGAATTGCAGTAAACTGTAAGCGCTGACATTTCAAATAAAGCAGAAAGTCGTATATGAAAAGGATTACAGACATTACAAATAAGCCTGTTCATTAATTTAATATGTTACCGGCAGCTAGCTCTCTGCAACTCTTACATGGTCACCCACTGAGCTAAGCAGGGCTGCGCCTGGTCAGTACCTGCAGGGGAGACCACATGGGAAAGCTAGGTTGCTGCTGGAAGTGGTGTTAGTGAGGCTGGCAGGGTCTGCAGTCTGTGTGGGTCCTAATGCCCCAGTATAGTGATGGGGACTCTATTGACCTTATTCTCCGCAGACGAGCGGGCGCTGCCATTTGAATCTTTTTAGAACGAGACTTCCGGTCTCATTCACTTCCATTCATTTTTAGACATTAAAAACTGCTCGTTTCGCTGTTTGATCTTGCAAACTGATATTTCCTTGTTATATTATTCTACTTGGTCTGTATAGTCATGCAAACATTTGTTTGTAGAGCAAGTAGTTTGACCGTTTTTTGCCGTTTATTATTCCTTGTCATTTCCCCCATAGGCGACTGAAACGGAAGTTCTAAGACAATCGCGAAAACAGGCGCACTTCCACATTTTAGAATAAGGTCAATACTCTATCCGCTTGTTAAGTGTGACGTCACGCGAAGCGGCTTCCGGGCCCAAGCGCTCTATTCAACTAAATGGGGAGACTCATGAAATTGTAATAATAAACGTTTACAAAGCGATTTAATGCTTTCGAAAATCACGATCGCAGTATATATATGTCCATGCCTAATATCCGATGGCCAGAAAGTGATACATTTTTTATAAATTGTAAAATTTTGGTATTTGTTATGCAGCAAGCCCAGAGATTGTTGTGTACACTATGACTTTATGTAAAATTAACTTTAATTTGTGATAGGAATACAACGTGATCATAAACGAATGATTTCTCCACTCAAATGAATGGCGGCTTGGACCCGGCAACAGTATTACATACGTCACAAACATGTCACCACTTAACAAGCGGATACTCAATGAGCGCTGTCTTTTGGATGAGAGGTTAAACCGAGGTCCTGACTCTCTGTGGTCATTAAAAATCCCAGGATGTCTTTTGAAAAAGAGCAGGGGTTTAACCCTGGCATCCTGGCCAAATCTGCCCACTGGCCTCTGTCCATCATGGCCTCTTAACCAACTCTGTCTCCTCCACCAATCTGCTAGTGTGTGGTGTGCGGTCTGGCGCAAAATGGCTGCTGTCGCGTCATCCATGTGGATGCTGCACACTGGTGGTGGATGAGGAGATTCCCCCCTATGTGTAAAGCGCTTTGAGACCCAAGAAAAGCGCTATATAAATGTAAGGAACCTCTGCATTGCATCTGTGCTTGGACACATAATATTATGAAATGCAAAAATATTCAGCTTCTCAGACACCAAAAGAGCATTTATAAAGAACCAACGGTGTTTGTTAGATGTTTTTCAAGAATGTATTACTATATAAAACAGTCTGCTTTTACTGTGGTGATTTGTAATGTTTTACATTGTGCGCTCTGAGCATGCCTGTAGCCTAAACATGGCGGAATACAACTTCACCATGGTATAGATTCATAGATTCCCAAAGTGGCTTGTTTGAAAATTATATTCAAACTTTTCTTCAAAGACAAATAAACAGCTATTGTACTTTGCTTCTGTCTAAAAGGGTTAATGCTGTTTAAATACGGATGTGTCTAGTGCACATTAATGGTCCAGTGCAGCCTTCACACAGTCGCATGCCCTTTACTGTGGCTGACACCAGCTGCACATCCACAGGTTCACGCCTCTGAATGAGCAAGTTTCATCCACTTGTACAGTAATTAGCATTACAGGAATTTCTGGTGTAAACAAAACACCCGCAAAGAAACACGACAGAAAACACTGAAACAGAAACCCCACTGTCAGCTTCGAAGGGATTATTGACAGAGCAAGACAAACAGAATGCAGAAGTATAAATGCACAGCTACGTGCAAGTCATGCATTGTGGGTTACGTTACTCATTCAACGCGGAAGTACAAGGCTTGGACAATGAAACTGAAACGACTGCTTTTAGACCACAGTAATTGATTAGTATTGTGTTGGACCTCCTTTAACTTTATATTTCAACTTACTTGACCGGAAATAAAAAGAATGAACATGAATGTTGTCAAGATTCTTGTTCCTGAAATCCTGGCTCAGTTTGAAAAACTACAAATACCTTTTGTTCCTGAGTCTGTAGTAGGTACTCTAGATGTTTTTTACTGGTCTGATCAATTAGCACAACCCAGCCCTGGAGTTTCAAGCCTCAGACCGGCCCACCTCAGTTCACGACTGACTACATTAAAATAAGGTCATTTCCAATTCAGTTTCTAATTACACTATCACGTCTTTTTTTGAGAAAAAAGCTGCTTTAGAACTTCAAATATTCAACAACCCAAACAGTATTATATGTCTCAACAATAAAAATGAAAATAATAACATAGTCAGACGAAGATTAAACCCGGGTCGGCGGCGTTGTAATATAACATGCTAACCACTGGGCCACAACGGTTGTATGGTGAAAGGTGACTTATAACATTATGAACCTGCAGGCTGGTTATATATAAAAAGAGCAGAGCTGCAGTAAAATAATGAATAAGAAGACTGTGGTCAAGTAAATAAATAAATTAATTTAAAAAGTGTGACTGCTGAGAGCAACAGATTCTGGAGCTAGGGACACCGGCCCTCGCGGCCAAAAAAACGGACCGGCCCACCGGGAATTCTCCCTGTCCTCCCGATTAGCCAATCCGGGCCTGTAAGTATGCGATTTTATGCAGCTTATATCTATGGTTTGGATAGCTACATTCTTCCTCATTCCTCATTTAAATTAAACAGAGGAATTCTATTCATACAGTTAATATTTTTGGAACAACACAAGAGGGAGTAAAGATTGACAGATTTATTTATTTATTGATGAACTGTCCCTTTAAGAAGATAAATAAAACCATCATTTTTTTCATTTGCATTTAAAGATTTCTAAGAAACATTTAAATGTATTTTGTAATATATGACTATATATTTTGTAATATTTGGTAATATATGAAAATTTATTTTGTAATAAATGAATATTTATAGGCGGCACAGTGGCTCAGGGGTTAGCGCTGTCGACTCACAGCAAGAAGGTGGCTTGGCGTGGGTTTCCTCTGGGTGCTCCAGTTTGCCCTACAGTCCAAAGACAAGCAGTACAGGTAAATTGAATACACTAAATTGTCTCTGTATGAGTGTGTGTAAATTGGTGTGTATGAGTGTTTCTCAATACTGGGTCGTGGCTTTTCCAGTACATAAAACATATGCTGGAAAAGTTGGCGATTCATTCCGTTGTGGTGACCTCAGAAATAGAGACTGAGCTGAAGGAAAATAAATGCATATTTTTTTTTATATAAAACTTGTCAACAGTTTTTTTTTCCAAACAGCAAAGCATCAGTGTTAATTAATTATTAGATGAGCAAACAAATTGAATATCCATTTAAGTGTAAGCATTACACAGCTTTGGTTTCTGATAAGAGTAATCGTTTTCTAACTGTAACTCGCACTTTATCAGTCATCTTTCATTGCTTACGTCAGCATGTTTAGAGTACTGAGGCAGTCACAAAAATTTTTTGCTTCTAATAAAACAAATAATACACACAAAATAAATTTGCTTCCATTTGTTTGTCCTACTATGGAAGCAGATTTTCAGTTTTCTTCAAAATAACTTATTTTGTGTTCAACAAAAGAAAGAAACTGAGAATTTTAAAATTTTTTTGTGTACTATCTCTTTAAACTTTAGAATTTCCATATTGGCCTGTGCAATTTTATTTTACAGCCTATATATATATATATATATATATATATATATATATATATATATATATATATATATATATATATATATATATATAGTTCACCTTCATTATAACACTTTTAGGCCTATTCAAAAATTATTTTCTTATTTCATTGAATCTTATTTTATTAGATTGTATTTTGTTGGAAGGGAAACATCCATTCTAATATGGACTTTACATTGAAGCATTATTGTTATATAATATGAGGCTATCATAGTGCAAACATACAACAGCAATCAGCAATGTGGAACATCTGATAGTGCTAAATACAGATTAGTCACAGAACAGTCATATATCCAGGTTCTTGACCCAAGAGACATGGATTTGCAATGGCTCTTATCAAAGTTGTAATAAAACTGAAATTCACTGAGGAGAAATGCAGGTAACTGTGTCCTATGAGTGTAAAATAGAAACCTTTACTGTATAAAACAGAAAACTGTGCTGCATTCGTATTAAATTCAGCAATTATTTTTTCCATTAAACTCATTAAATTGATAGTTCACCCCAAATCCTTCAAATTGTCATCATTTACTCACCTTTCACTTGACATAAATTTGAACACACAAAAAAAATATTTTTAAAAATTTTGAAAATCTGTTTTCACTGACTTCTGTTTGTTTTTCCTACTATGGATGTCAATGGTTTCAACAGGCCCGTAGCCAGGCGGGGGTTTCTGTGGTTTGGAAGACCCACCCCTAACTAATAAAGGTCCAGAATTTGACCTATAGATGAGCTCATTTGTTCTATTTTGACTGCTATGCAGCCATAAATAGTAAAAACAACCCT